ATTAATTAATTAATATTATTAAATAGGTGTGTAATAAATTGGGCACAACACATTGGCTATTATATCATCCGGACGAAGCATTAGCATATTATCAACAATCATTAAGTGTTTGTCAACAATTATCCGATCTGGAAAGCATGTTGGAATTATATAAAGCGATGGCAAATATTCATTTTAAGAAAGGAATGATGGATGTATGCCATTCCTGTTTACGGTACTTTTATCTCATTTTAAACTGTTTAAGACGATAAAATCAAAATTGATCAATTTTGACGATTTATTAATATCAATTAATATTTTATTATATCATAAAATGCAATTAAATTTATTTTTGGAGAAGAATATAATGCAAATTTTATCAATCAATAATGATTAGCAATTATTTATGACTGCAGTTATGAAAATACGAAATCATAACTCTTACTTGTTATTACAAAATATTTATCGCAATGTTTAATGAGTTTAAAAGTAATATTTTTGAAAAGAAAAACATTCAAAATTAATGCTATTTAATTAAATTAAATTTTTACCGAAATACTATTAAATTTGTTAAAACATTATTCATTTTTTGATAATTATTTGTAATATATTTAAAATAGTATTCATAACAAAAAAGTAATTGATAATTTCAGATGTTATCTAACACTTGCCAGTATATTATCAAAGGAAACAGCTCGTTTAAATGGACTTATATCAATTGGACGTACATTATTACTTCGTCAACGATACAAAGAAGCCAAGAAAATTTTTACTAAAGTATTGAATTTAACGAGTGAAAGAGAGAATCGACGTGAACGTGGCCTGATTTACGGTTATATAGCAGAGTGTTACCTTGGAATGAATGATAAATCAAAGGTTTAATTCTTAAACTTATCATAATTGAATAACAAATAGGAATTAATAATCAAAAATTTTATAATACATAAATTAAATTTTATAGGAACTTAAGTAAATATTAAATTTTGCAACAAGAAAATAAAATAATAAATGCAAATTTTAGATTTAATATAATGTTTTTTTTTCCTTATCATAGAAGAATTTATTTCTTATTAACTGAACAATAGTTTTTTTTTAATTACTCTAATTTATTGAAAATATTAATCAGTGAAAATATTATTATTTTAAAATTTCACCAATTTAAATTTTTAGGCACTACTTAATTTTTGCAAACAAATTCCATTTTTTGATGATATCGATGATATCGAAGGGAAGTGTGAAACATTGAGACATTTGATTGAAGAAAAACGGTTAATTAAAGATGTTAATTGGGCTATACGACTTTGCAACAATCGAATTGATCTATCAAAAATGGGATCAATTGATTTACAGGTTATATCAATAATAAAACCTTTTCTATAGCATCAAAATTAAATCTTTCGAGATCAATATTTACATACCGCGCATGTAAATATTGGTCTCGAAAAAATTGAATTGGAAATTAAAGCTAACATGAAATCTTATAGAAAAATATATTCTGATGTTTTAAATTTGACAGAAAATTTATTTAATATTTGCGGTTTAATGATTAATTTACGCTGCTAAAAAATATTATATTTGCCTTATATTAAATTGTACATTTCATTTTTACAAACTATTTTTTTTCAGGTTCAAGTTTTGAAAGAATCAGCAGAAGTAGCTGAAAGCCTATCGAAATTATGGGAAGCATGCAAATTTTTAGAAAAAGCAGTAATACTATGTATTGCTAATAAATGTGGCAACATTTTAGATTTATTATTAAATTTAAAAAATAAATATTTGAGATGTAATGTAAGAAAACGAGCTATAATGCTATTTCGAGAATGCTCAGATGCTGTAGCAATTCATTCAAATGAGCAACTTTCAATATTGTTAGAACTTAGCAAATTGGAATTGGAAGAACGTTTGATAAATGATGTTATCACTCATATCACAGATGTAAAGGAAAATTGTCAAGATAAGGTTAGTTTGCTTCCTTTTTCTTGTCAATTAAATATTATTTAAAAACTTTTTTCTCCAATTGATTGTTATCATTTTTATTGAAATTTGAAATGAAAAATAGAGTAAATTGATTCGTGTAATTCCAATAATGTATTTTAGGAAAAAGTGATTTTTTTCCTTTTCGAAATAATTTTATTTTAATTGTTTGTACTGATGATTTTCCAATTGATAAAAATAAAACTATAAAATTAATTAAGCGATACCGATGAATTCAATTTTCTAACGTTTTTTTTCTTTTAGTTACATTAAGACGGTGGTAATTTAATATTTAGAAAAAATTTATTATTTAGACTAATTTTGCAGGAATCGAAGGCGATATGCGAATATATTCTTGCATGCGCCTATTATGATGATAGAAATTACACAGATGCGTTGTATCATATGCAAAATTTTGAAAATTTGAAAAAAAACTTATCAGTAAATCAAAAAGAAATGCTTAAATTAGAGCTTTTATTGATTGAATGGAATTACAATGCTTCAGATCATGTAATTGAAGCAATACAAGATATTGCTATGAAAAGTAAGTTGATCAAGCCGACCAAAAAATTATCAAAATCTTAAATCAATCTTTTTATGACTTTAAATCTCTCTTCTTCAAATTCTTCATCCATTTTAAATCCATTTAAAAATGTTTTTCAAGATTGTTGAAGGTGAATGTAAAAAATGTGCTATAGCATATCATAGAAAAATTAATTGTAAAAGATTTTGTTTAGAAAAAAAGGTTAATAAAGAAACATTTTTAACCGAAGTATTTTTTCAGCCGATTCACTGACAATTCATCGGATTTTGGATGAATCATGCTTATATGATTTACTAAATCATGAAAAATTATCAAAAATATCCGCAATACATTGGATGATGACAAGGGGCGACTTTATCACTGCCAAACATTTCTTCGATTTACATAAAAATACTTATCAAAATAGTACAGAATATACCGCTGATATGGCATTATTTTACTGGAATGAACGAAAATTCCAAGTAAATTACAAAATGCTTTATATTTATTCTTTTCGTTCAATTTTATTTTACAAATATAATTATCAATAATCTTATCACGAAAATTTTCAACAAATCTCATGAAGTGCTCAAATATACTGGGACACGTATTAACATGTATTAAAAGACAGTAACCAATAAATTTGTAGCGAAAATAGATTGCCTTGGTTGAAATGTGTGGACAGTAGGAATCGTTTGTGCTTTTATTGGAACCTCAAACTTGGGTAATTAAACCATAGTAAAGACACAATATTAAACACAAGAAACAAAATAACCTAAAACGCACAACCCCAAAGGAAGAAGAATGAATGAATGAATGGAGATTCGATGTCTTATATAGGCAAAGTATACGTGCATATCATAACGCGGGAAAATAAGGAGAGAGATATTGGAGGATGTAAGAGCAAAGGAGATCATGTAGTACAATAATTGGAGG